TGCACGCATAAATCTCCCTTTATTTCTTTCTCATCCCTTTGAATCGTAGAGAGTGGCGTCTAGTTGGTCTATAGATCGCACCTTTTGGCTTTTCGGTTGTAAAATTCACACAGACTTTCACAGGACGATAATCGATATAGTTATAGAACGCTCAAACGGGCGGGCCGGGCCGCGCGGGCGCCAATGAAAAATTAATAAAACAGACACCTCCTCTACTAGGAGATGGGTAAAAGCTGTGCTCGTCAGCGGGGCCGAGGACGAAAGCGGCGACCGCGACGACGCGGGGCGCGGCGGCTGCGCGCCGTTGCGAGCCGGCGACGCGGAGGAGGAGGCGGCGCTGCAGCGCGCCCTGCTCGAGAGTGTCGGCGTGAGGTTTGCGGGCGGCGAGGAGGACAGAGAGGGCGTGGCAGACTGAGGTCGGTAACGAGGGCGGCAAGGAACGAGATCCCTCACCAAGATCGCGCGCAGGGGCCAGGGCGGGAAACATGCGGTCACGACCAGGACAGTCCGGCCTCCGGGAACGTGTCGCGCGCCGGCGACGATTGCGGCGTGGTCGTTTTGAAGCGAAGATGGCACGACCACCACCCTGCTTCGCAGACCGGGCAAGGAGGGGGCTGCTCCCGTTCCGCGAGGAACAGGAGGTCTGGAGTGCAGCCGAGCGAAAGGTGTTTTTCTTCATTCATGGAGCCAACCGCGCTGCTCGACGCCGCCCGCCAGGCCGCGCCGGCGCACCTGCAGCGTCCCGAGTCTGGCCTGTCGGTCCGCCACGCCGCCGCCGCCACCCGCCCCGGCTACAGCGTCCTCGAGGTGGGCATCGCCGGCGCCTTCTCCGCCGCGATAGAGGTGGCGGTGGCGCCCGAGGGCTCTGCGGGCTGGCTGCCGCGGCGCGTGGTGGTGGGCCCGCACGAGGACGGGGCCGCGTGCCCCGCGTACCTGCCGCACCCGCGGACGCACCTCTTCCGCGCCCTCTCCGCCCACGCCGGCTCCCTCCTCGTGCATCTCGACGCTCTGCCGCCGGCGGAGCGGTGAGCGGGCGGCGCTCTCTCTCCGTCCACGTCCACTCCTCAGCACCTCCTGCGACCTGCCCGCGGCTCGCCACGTCCCCTAGCGGCCCTCGCGCTGACGCCTCCTCGGCGGTGGCAGGCTACCGCGGCTCATCCGATGGCTCTGCTCTCTGGACGGCCTGTGGACCGAGCGTTGCGCGATGTGCGGCCAGCGACCTGGCGAGCCGGCAACACACCGCGGCGCCTCCTCACACCACGAGCGGCGCGAATAGGTGCGACCGGCTGCTCGCGCCGGCCGGGCCGAGCAGCACGCGCCTGCTGCCGCCCACCGTCCGCACGCCGCAGCTGCAGGCGTACCATCCGGGCTGCTTTGCCGCGAGCCGTGGGTCGGCCTGCTGGGAGGCGGAGTGGGTGGCGCTGAGGGAGTGATGCGGCGCACAGTCATCACGGGCCTCGTGCCAGCGGCTCTCCTCGGCACCAGAGCGCTCCATCCTTACGCCAGAGCCTGTCCTGGGGCGGGGCCCTACGCCCTC